TTTCTATGGAGCAAAGCGAATGGAGCCAATAAAGTAAGCATTGTAGGTTGATTTGCTAGAATAAATACCAGACCTGGTGAGCTTCCATCAGTGCTGATCTTCAACCCCCTCTTGCAGCAACATATTATCAACCAAATCCCATAGCAAGAGGTACTCTCTCAGGACCAGGACAGAGAGTGTATCTTTAATATCTGAGACCCTAAGGCGGGTATCCAAAGCCTGCGCAACCATGTGCTGTTTTATGACTCTCTTAGGAATTGTTTTGAAAAGATTAGGTGCCAGCTGCCCAGCTCAGACACTGTATTTCCTCGCAGCCACCTATCGGACCAGAACAGGATGCTTTCCCCATTACCAACTACGGATTCCACCGCAACCTTGAAAAGAGCCTGAGCATTTTGAGGGATTCGAATAGGTAATCCAGCCCAAGACGAGAACTGTCTGTCTTGTCAAGCCAAAGCCACCTAATGCGAAGAGGCCATCCTAAATACTCCAGATCATGAATATCAAGCCCTCCATATTATAGTGGCATTTTGACTCGATTCCAGGAAACCAGACAGTTTCAACCATTCGCTTTTTCTTGAACAAGTCAATTTTCTCTTGATTACTCAAGTCCATAGATGCATGTAGATGCATCTATTCATCTCTTATGACAAGATTATTTCCAACAAATAGCACATCTTTGAAAGAGGGATTTTATTTCTTTAGACTATCAGAGTTCAGTACTTTTTTTAAGACCACCTTTAAACAAATGTAGATGTTAGTAACTTAGTATTATGGTTTCATGTGTTATATTTTACTGTCAATTAGTATCTTGAACTTATTGAATTGATCTGTTGTATTTTTGTTACTTTTCCTAGTTTGTCCAATGCGTATGCCCCCCAAGTAATTAGTGCGTATGCCCCCCAAGTAGGCCATGATAAGAGTGTTAAGCGGCTTTTATAGGAAGACTTAGATCGCTTGGTTAGAGTTGTCCCTAGTAGCGAGAAGCTTTTTATAGGAGGTGGTCTTAATGGCCATGTAGGTACATCAAGTGCAGGTTTCGAGGCGGTTCATGGGGGTTTCGGATATGGCAGTAGGAACTAGGAGGGAGAGGAAGTCTTAGACTTTGCTATAGCTTTTGATCTGATGATAGTTAACACTTTCTTTCGTAAGAGACAGTCCCATTTAATGACTTTTAATAGCGGCCAGTACTCTAGTCAAATCGACTTTGTCCTTACAAGAAGGAGGAATACACGAACATGCGTGGACTGTAAGGTGATACCTGGAGAATGTGTGGTCGCTCAACACAAGCTAGTGGTGGCTGACTTCCACTTTCTGGTGCAAGCTCGTGGGAACAAATAAGCTAGGGTTGCTAGAATGAAGTGGTGGAAATTAGAAGGGGAGGCATCAAAGGTCTTTAAGGAAAAGGTCATTGAAGAGGGCCCTTGGAAGGATGAAGGCGATGCAAACAGCATGTGGGAGAAGATGGCAACATGCGTTCGGAAGGTTGCTTCAGAGGTGCTTGGAGTGACCAAAGGGAGCAGATGCGACTCGAAAGACACTTGGTGGTGGAATGAAGATGTGCAAAAGGCTATTAAGAAAAAGGAGTGCTATAAGCGCTTGTATCATGACAGGTGTGCAGACAACATAGAGAAGTACAAGGTGGCAAAGAAGACTGCAAAACGAGCGGTGAGGCAAAGGGGCGGGCCTATGAGGACCTTTACCAACGTTTGAGTACGAAGGAAGGAGAGAAGGACATTTGTAGGATGGCTAGGGCTCGCGATAGGAAGAGAAGGGACTTCAACCAAGTCAAGTGTATAAAGAATGAGAGGGAGCAGCTCTTCGTGAAGGAGGATGAGATCAGACATAAATGGCAAGAGTATTTTGATAAATTGTTCAGTGGTGAGAACGAGAACACCACCGTTCAGCTAGACGACTCGTTTGATGACACTAATAGGCGCTTTGTGCGGAGGATTCAAGAATCGGAGGTCAGAGAAGCATTGAAAATGATGAAAGGGGGTAAAGCGATGGGCCCTGATGGTATCCCAATCAAGGTGTGGAAACGTCTCGGGGATATAGCTATAGTATGGCTAATCAAGATGTTCAACAATATATTTCGATCGAACAAGATGCCTGAAGAATAGAGAAGAAGCATATTGGTACCAATCTACAAGAACAAAGGAAATATCCAAAGTTGTACTAATTATCTGGAAATTAAGTTGATGAGCCACACTATGAAGCTATGGAAGAGAATCATCGAGCAGCGCCTGCGAGGAACGACGCAGATATCAACAAACCAATTTGGTTTCATGCCCAGAAGGTCAACCACAGAAGCAATCTTCTTAATAAGACAAGTTATGGAGCGGTTTAGAGAGCAGAAGAAGGACCTCCACGTGGTTTTTATTGACTTGGAGAAGGCTTATGACAAGATACCAAGAAATGTTATGTGGTGGGCTTTGGACAAACATAAAGTCCCATCAAAGAACATGTACAACAATGTTGTGACTAGTGTTCGAACAAACGATGGTAACACATATTACTTCCCGATTAAAATTGGACTTCATCAAGGGTCAGCCTTAAGCTCGTATCTCTTTGCCTTGGTAATGGATGAGGTTACCAGAAACATACAAGCGGATATCCCTTGGTGTATGTTGTTCGCTGATGATGTAGTATTAGTGGACGAAAGCCAGGCGGGAGTAAATAGGAAACTAGAGTTATGACGGCAAATCCTTGAGTCTAAAGATTTTAGATTGAGCAAAACTAAAACCGAATATATGAGATGCGACTTTGGCGGAGTTGCACAGAAGGAGGGAGATGTGAGTTTGGAAGGTCAAGTAGTGCCTAAGAAGGATACCTTTTGGTATCTGGGATCGATGCTACAGAGGGATGGAGATATTGATGCGGATGTTAGTCATCGAATCAAAGCAGTGCGGATCAAGTGGCGACAAGCTTCTGGCATTCTCTGTGACAAGAGGGTACTACAAAAGCTAAAAGGCAAGTTTTATAGAACGACGATTAGACTGGTTATGTTGTATGGAACAGAATGTTGGCGTACAAAGATTCGACATGTTCAACAATTGAGTGTTGTAGAAATGTGTATATTGCGATGGATTTGTGGTCACACAAGAATGGACCGAGTTCGGAACGATGATATACGTGGTCACCTAGGGGTAGCACCAATTGAAGAAAAGTTTGTCCAACATCGGTTGAGGTGGTTTGGCCATGTACAAAGGAGACCTCCAGAGGCACCAGTGCATTGTGGAGTCCTAAGCCAAGCTAATAATATGAGGAGAAGTAGAGAAAGACCGAAATTAACATGGGGGAGACAATAAAAAGATATTTGAAAGCTTGGGATATATCTAGAGATCTATGTTTGAATAGGAGTGCTTGAAAAGCAGCTATTAAAGTGCCTGAACCGTAACTTGGGGCTCTTGGTGGGTTTCAACTCTAGCCTACCCCAACTTGCTTGGGACTGAAAGGCTATGTTGTTGTTGTTGTCCCAGTTTGTCCAGTGATTTATGTTTGTGTTGGATATCCTAGTAATAAAACACGCTAATGGCTATTTTCATGTTTTCACTTATAGTCAGCTCCTATAACTCTTTACTCATGAGCATGGCAACACATGTCTTTACAATATTTCCTCGAATATGGATGAGTAGTTTCAGATTATTGACATCATTCAACTTTTCTTATTTTGTTATGTTTATGCTTGAAACCTTGACAGAAGCTTGTGTTTTGTTTTAGCAAGAGCAGTTATCAAAAATATTTGAACTTTGTGGATCTCCAAACGAGGAAAACTGGCCAGGTGTTTCCAAGCTACCATTGTATAAGACTATGACTATCCGTCCTGCGACTCCTACTAAACGAAGCCTGAGAGATATGTTGCAAAAGTAATCCGCTGACTATATTTCTTACATGTAGGTATTTAGTGTGGTTACTAATTTTTTTTATGTTTGAATTTAATATGTCAAAAAATTCTTTTCAGCTTTGACTGTCATGCTGTTGAATTAATTGAACGAATGTTGATCCTTAATCCTTCACAGGTATGTTGCTCTTATGTTTCACACGTCTATCTTTCAACATTTGCTTTGTTATCTGAGATTTGATATGAGGCATGCTGACTAATGCAAACTCCATATCAGCATATTCATGACTAGTGTTTTTTTAGGTGGGTCAATGGACCTGCTATACGCATCTCAACTAATTTGAAAAATGTTGGAAATGGTCTAATAATCGGTGTCTGTCTTTGTTTGCAGAGGATTTCTGCACAAGATGCTCTTGGTGCGGCATACTTCATCAACTAAACTCATATGGGGGGAAAGAAGTATAGATTCGCTGTTCTCTGCGACTAAGTTTTGTTTACCTTGTCAGAATGGGTCTGGGGATCTCATTGGTGTAAGTACTACCTGAAGACTGAAGTCTTGTTTCTCCTGCTGACATTGGATTAGGACTAGCAAGCAGTTTAACTTTGTCTGTTCTAGCTTTAAATATAATATATATATATATATATATAGATGTGTTGTACATTATTATTCATGGCAAACTGTATTTGATTATTCATTAATAACAAGTAGTGATTCTTGGTATATTTTCATGACAGTGTTTCATATCTGCCTCCAAACTATTTAACGTAATGCAAATCAGTCCCAGCATGCTAGTTGCTTCAACAGCTGAGGCATAAATGGAGAATCAATTGATCATATATGATTTCTGCAAAGTAAACACGAACAGTTATTTGAATGATATGCATTCATATTGTTGGCCTCAGTCTCTTGTATGCTTATCATACAATGGATAGCTATGATCTATACATGTATATCTGCAGTAAGGCTGTCTGAAAGCACATGACATATTTTTACCCTCCCATTTGGTTAACAAAAATTGTTTCTAATTACCCTCTGCTTTATACTATGTACATTTACATATTGTGAAGAGGATCAGTTTGCTTCTATGCAAAATTTGTGATTTTTTTTATCTGTATCTTCTAGTACTAAAGAAATCAGGAGTACTTCTATTTTCCATCAGAAGTACTCCTTGTGGAAATCAAAGCGGGTTCCCGTTTTGTGGCTCATGTCAAGTGACAGTTTCTTCAGTTCCTTGGCAAGTGTAGGTCTCCCACAGTAAAATACCCCTGCATGCATAATAAACTCTCATGATCAGAATGACGAACACTTGATCGATGCTGAATAGTTTTTTCATGCCTTTCAGTGTGCTGAGAAAGCTCGCTTTCTCAGGTGGTCAGACCCTTCCCTAGACCCTGCGCAAGCGGGAGCTTTGTGCACTTGGGCTGCCCTTTTTTTTCAGTGTGCTGAGAAAAAAAATGAATACATTCGGGGCAAAATATTACCGACTGTAGAATTTGGGTGCTTGGACGCTATTCTTGTAAATACTTCTTTCCAGTTAGGTCTTGCAAAATGTGTCCTGACCTGAAACATGAGTACAATTAATACTATGTTCAAAAGCAATCATGTTCATCAACATTCCCCGGATTATTATTCAGCGAATTCATGATACTCTGTTTACTGAACCAAAGTGTGTTTACCCTTGTGCCTGACACTATGTCTACACCATGCTTGGCGTGGTTCAGGGCCTGCACCATCGACAGCAGGGTCGTCCTTGCATCTCGCTCCTCATACACGCTTGTCAGATAGTTGTGCAGCTCAATGACACCCTGGTTAAACCATCAGGAAGACAGGAACCCCATCGTCATGAGTACATTAACAACATCTCCAAGGAAAAACAGCATACAGAATGCCAGAGGCATCACCTTCTTGTCCATTTCAGCGACCTCATTCATCACCCCCTTGAACCACTCGAATGATCCAGGCTCCCTTGTGACCCAGTAGAAGTGTGCGCAGCTTGTTCGGTATGCCCGCCTCTTGTTGCTGCTGCTCGCAGTTGACGCGCTCAAGCTGTTGGTGCTGTCCTCGGACCGGCTGGTCTCCATTGCCAGGTCCTGAAAGGACGAAGCGATCGTCAGTGTCAGGCAAGCAAGAAGCGTGTCAGCTGAAAAATGGATGCTACAAATGACGATACCATCAGCTCATCAGCCAGCTTGATGTTGTTCAGAAGATCTCTCAGGATGCTGATGAAAGGCGTTGCGCCGATCCCAAGGCCGACAAGGAGCAGCACGTCGTAGTTCCTGAAATCCTGCGCTGGGGCGCCGTAGGGGCCATCGACCAGTAACCTTGGCGGACTGCATCAGAGCCCAAAGGAGGCAAGGCATTGCTCAGTTTCATATTGATCAGGCAGCTCTCAAACAGGGGAGCAGACATGGCGTGGAGAATGCATGCATGGGAAGAACCTCTTGTGCTCCACCGCGCCTAGCTCCCCGAAGGCAGCCCTTCGGGGCACGCAAGGCGTGAAGTAGTTCTCGACGAAGATGCGCTTGAGTTCCTGTGTCCAGTCACCCCTGGTCTGGATGTGGACGCTGATGTAGTCGTCTCCAGGAGCTGAAGTGATGGAGAAAGGATGCCTGCCAGCCATGCGAAGAAGCATCAGAGATGAGTGTAACAAAAAGGAGCAAGGGTGATCGAACAAGTAGATAGACAAATGAAGAGTCAGTCATACCACTCAAATGGGGAGATTGTTGGACACTGGAGGAATATGTACTGCCCACTTCTGTAGCGGAATCCGTAGGGTTTCGACATGGTTATGGTCAAGACGTTCCCCGGTAGAAGGCACACCTGAGTGAACCAGATTGCAGTAAGAACATACACTTTCCATCTCTTCCTACTTCCAACAGTCAGGTATTTGTACCTCCCTCCATATATATATATATATATATATATATATATATATATATATATATATATATATATATATATATATATATATATATATATATATATATGTTTCTTATGACAAGCTAATTCGTTCATTTTTAAACGAATTGGCTTATCCTAAACATCATATATTTTCTCTCTTTTTAAGGGAAAAAAAAAGTAGCAGTAGAAAACCCCAAGCCATTTTCTTTGTTTAGATCATTCTTTTTGTGAGTATCTAGGGCGTGTTTGGTTGGAGACCAAAGCTTGCCATGCCAAAAGTCAGTCATGCCACAGTTTTTTCGGTAGTTGTTTGGTTTACTGCCACATTTATGGCACGCCAAACTTTCTTAGCACCCTGCCCCACATGTCATAGACTCATTTTCGTGCCAAACTTTGCCACAAGTGTGTCTTCGATTTTGCTCGCCACACTTTCTGTGGCAGCCACACTTTGCCGAAGGTTAGGCATGGCAAGTTTTGGTCGCCAACCAAACAGACCCTAGTTTAGTCTTGAAATGACCCTATTACATATCCTAGTGCCAACATGACCTAGCACCATATCCTCATCATACTGGCCACATGCCAGAATCCTTTATGCCCGTTCTCCCAACGGCAACGATGGTTTCGACAATTTGCAAGAGCAAGAGTGCAAGACACAATTGACCAAGCCACGCCCGTTTGTCTTTTCGACCAACTGACCATGATGATATAATGTGATAGTTTGTTGTCACTTGTCAGCGAGGGGGCAGACTGATGCTTCTCATCCAGATTATGAGACAGATATATGCAGGGGCAAGAGGCTAGACTATGATATATATATGCCTGGGTGATACCTGCTGTCGAAACATCAGATAATGAGATGTTTAGATGTGGTCTAGGATGTTAAGTTACCTTGAGAATCTTGACTGCGTGAGCCTTGGATCGGAAGGCCCGTAGCGTCCGTTCCCCGACGTAGAGCACCAGTGGCACAGAAATGTACATCCATGTCTGCATCACCGAAGAGATCACACTGTCAGCATCAAGTTTTTTTTTTCGTCTGATCTGTTGCTGGTGCCGTTCCATTAAAGAGAGAATGAAGAGGTTTGGTGCAGTGCAGATAACTCAAAAACACTTGGCAGAATGTCTCAGCATATATAGCATCAGGATTATCTGATTGTCGTCGACAGGCCAAGTGAAGACCATCTTACTTAAACTGCATGCAGATAGAAACATGGCTGGAAAAAAAAGGGCTGCAACAGGAAGCGGTGCTTATACGTTATACAGTACTAACGTTTTATATTCTAGTACAACATTGGTTCAGGTTCCAAGTTAAATACAAATTAATCTGAACTGGACCAAGACCAATACATATCCAACCACTGTCATGTTTGGCAGCTGTCAGATTCCCCTTGTGTTTGATCTGTTTCTTGCAATGGGCTGAAAAATGGCAGTTGTAGAGTGGTGAGTGCAAAAGTTTGTATTCTTGCGGACATCGGTGACACCTTCACAACGAAGCCCCCTTCAGCTTGGTTACCGTTGATTCCTTGTCCAGCCAACATGTGGCAACTAGGGATAAAAACGGTACGGATATTTTCCGACCGTATTCGAGACCGAATCCGTTTAAAGGGGTTCAGATTTGTTTGTATCCGAGTCCGGATATTCAACATCCGATACCGTATCCGTATCCGAATACTCAAATCGCATATTTATGATGTCGATATCCAATCGTATCCTATCCGATATGGTTGACACTACCCGTATTCGAATCCGAATCCGGACAGAAATATGAAAACAAATGTAATATCAGTGATATTCGTTCGTATCCGATCCGTTTTCATCCCTAGTGGCAACAGACGAAAAACAAATCAGGATTCATCAGAATTTTGCAAAGGACCAGAAACAGGTATTTACAAAATAGAGGCTGCTGCTCTCCAACAGTGGTCCTGAAAAGGAGGTTTATTTATCACAAAACGGATTAGGCTTGGCGCTAAAAAGGGTCCCAAACTCCCAAGGGGTGTCTGTCGTGTGACTTGTGAGCCTGTCCCTGTGATGATGTGGAGGATTGGATCCCCATCCGGCCAGTTGCTGAGACGTGTACGCATGAAACGACATGGCAACGCTCTCGCTGCTCTGGGCTGGGACTGGGACTGATGGAGAGCTGGCGAGCCTGTTCGGGAGGCCGTATCGTATCGTGAATTATTTACTGTTGGTTGGTTTGGTGTGAGAGAAAAATACTGTTCCCGACGGGAAATTTACGATCGTTTACGAGGAAGCGAAACTTTTCCTGTCATGATATTATTCATTCATGGGAGAGCGTTCGTACGGTACGGGTGCAGGCGGCCATGACTACGAACACGAGAGACCTTACGGCTAAAGCCTTTAAGCTGCCCGTGTCCACTGATGCGAACGTGCTTGATTGACAGGTACGCTTTTGTTAATGCTATGCAGATACGCTTGGGGCTCCGTCTTGTCTTGACCTCAACGGACCACCAACCAAGCAGGCACTGCCTGATGATGCCTGTGAGACCTGACCCTGACCCTCCCAAGTCCCAACATGCATGCATGAGCGATTGATCGAGCATGGCTGCGACCTGCGATCCAAACATGTTGCCTCCTCCTTTCGGCGGCAAGAGTTTGGCTAGCAGCATCCATACCCATGCATGCGTGGCTGCAATGATCCAGGACGCCTATGACTGACTAAAGTTTTGGCCTATATATACATGCATTTAGATCCACCACACACTTACGGCCAAAATTTGGCATGACAGATTAGAGCGCAAACCAAACAGATTAGAGCGCCAAGCCTGCAAAGCCGAGACCCCTGCCCCACTAGGAGCAAGGCTAACAATACAGCAACAGTGCTGCATGATGTATGAATCCTCCACGTCAGCATATAGCCTACCTACAGGCTACGGTCCTTTACTGTACTTGATCTAAGCTCCTCCAAACTATCTTTTATCTCGCAAGGCATAAGCCCGCTCTGCAAAGCTTATCAAATTGTCTCCCGTCCCGTATATGTGGGGTTGGAGCACATTGATCTCTAGGTCTAGGGAAGGAAAACAGGCTAGCGCATGCTAGGTGGTGTGGCCTACCTTATTTTCTTCATCTCCAATTAATGCGCATGACCCTACGTACGAGTACTCCATTACTGTACAAATGGGCATGCTGCATATTTGCATGCCTTGTGACAGTACAGCACGCCGCCTAGCTACGATCTTTCTCAACTCTGGCTTAGCTCGACCAGTCCTTAGCTTCATTCTCATCAGCTACATTTTATATTTCCTTCTTATATCTAAAAAAACATTTTATATTTCCTTGTCTCATCAACATGACAGCCGCGAAGGCGACGCATGCAAATTAACGGATCAAAGCGAAAGAATCGCAGCGACAGAAAGTGTATGTGCACATCTATCATAGATCTTTCCTCAATGCAAGCAGGGGCAGAGCTACAGGGTGATCCGGGTGGTCCACGGCCCATCATGCGCTTGGCCCATACAAAGCCCATAGATACAGAAAGTTTGGATCCTGAGCAGCCAAACATTGAATACATCGGAGTGTCTACGGCCTTTCGCCAATACGCGTTGTGCGATCCTTCGCGAATACGGCCGGTCTACACCCCTTCGTATCCCTTGCTGTGTTGTGCGGACATGCGGCGGTGGTGGGCCGGTGGCAGGCGCCGGACGACGAGCGACCAGAGGCTGTGAGCGACAGCATATGGGAATGCAGGTACGTCTCCGGTCTCCAATCAGCCTGCTCGTTTAGTCAGGTTTGTTTTTTTCCCCTCCCAATCTCTCCTAGTCTGAAGGAACACAGAACGCCCTAACTCATGCAGAAAACCTTATTTTACATTAGATTACATTATTGGAGTGCACGGTGACATTGGACTATTTAATTTTAATTGTAGGATAGGATTTTTTTCTGTCAATTGATTATTGGAATGGTAAATTGAAACAATATTTTATTCTCTTGCAGGCTTACTGAAATATGAAAAGGAGTGGTGATATTGCCTCTCTTCGTCAAAAAAATAATTAAGATGGGTGATAGCCTCCTAGATGATTGTCTAGTGACTTTTATTGAGCGGGATATCTTCTTACAATTGAGTGATGGAGATCATCCACACTTTCATGGCTATTGGAAGGCGCAGGCCTGACAAGAAGTGCCGTATTGTTCTTCAACTATTACGGGCATGTAATATGAACTCTGTATATCCTCTTTTTCTTTAGTTGTGTTTTGCAATTCATGTACTTCGTCTACCAATATGTTAAGTTTATAGCGGTTAAAACAAAATTAGACAATTGACCACCATAGCTACAAATCAGGACAAAAATGTGAGCGTGTAACGATCGAGAGAGCAGCAAGCTAGAATATTAAACACACTGATTAATAAGAATAACCACTGCTAGCTGCTGCTCGATCATGGATTAGGATTAGGAGTAGGAGTAGAGATTGATTGATATAGTTACGTACCGTCCTCTGGTACCACTTGTCGACGAGGAACATGAACCAGCCGTGGACGAGCAGCAGGAGGTAGACGACGATGAGCAGGTGGTGCGAGTACCAGAAGGCGTTGAAGCCGGCGAGGTGGGCGAGCGGCCACCACCGGCGGGCGCCCCTGCTGGCCGCCGCCTTGTTGGCGCGGTCCGCCGCCTCCCGCTTCCGGAACGGCCTGGTGGCGAGGGTGAAGGAGACGGCCATGAGCATGACCATGACGATCCCCGTGACGCCCTCGGCCCCCGCGAGGAGCGCCCGGTAGCTGGGCTTGTCCCGCCCGAAGAAGCGAGCCACCAGCCGGTACTCCTCGGGCCCCGACGCGATCAGCCGCGGGAAGTCGCACGCCAGGTGGTTCCCCGCGTGCAGGCAGATCCCCACCGCGATCGCCAAAGCGATGATCTGCCATTGCCCATTGCATTGCATGCATGCCATCATACATATGGTTAATTCATTTTGATTGATTATTAATTCATCATATATACTCCATTCGTTCCAAATGATAAGTCATTTTAACTTTTTTTTAGAGTGAAATCATCTCAAGTTTAACCAAAATTACAGAGAGAATTATAAAGATTTATGACATCAAATATGTATATTATGAAAATATAATTAATGAAAGATCTAATGAAACTTATTTGTATCATAATTGTTATTATTTTATTATATAAATTGGGTTAAACTTTAGATGTTTTGACTCTCAAAAAAATTTAAAATAACTTATAATTTAGGACCGATGAAATATATCACAGGTTAAAAAAAACATATTCAGGCCCCCGTTGACCTTAAAAAAAAGGTATATCACAGGTTAAAAACACTAAAACCATCTTAATCAATACAAATTTCTTTCAAAAAAACATCATCAAGTAATTAATGATGACCAGGTGGTGATAGCACACCTTAAATATTAATGCTTGATAAGGCATTGCACTGGCTAGCTAATTGCATCATCAAGCAAGCAAGCAATCAAAGTCGTTACCAAGTGTCAAACGCGAAATAAATCGTTGGGACCCGGAGTATTCGGACCAGAAATCTTGACCAGGAGTCCAGGACAAGACTGCTGCCGGGCCGCGCGCGCGGAGACACGCGGATCTTCTGTGCCATCACGTTCGTAGCTCTTCTCGAAAAACTGCTAATCTGACTTCTGATTGGACCGCCGCGAAAGGAGCAGGGCCCACCGCGACCCACAAAGTACGCGACGGCCCGAAAGGCCAAAAAGTCGTGCCGCAAAGCCGTACGAGATCCAAGCCCGCATGGCCCCACGCGGCAGCGGCCTAATGATTGACCGCGCGACGCAAAACACGACGGACGACGGCGCCTCGCCACCGACGGCGACCGACCACCCTCCGCCAGTCGCCGCAAGTACAGGACTTCGAACTTACGAGTACTTTATTACTATGGGCTGTGGGCCCCGCATGTCAGGAGCGCACTGGGTTTTATTTTATCTTTGTATTACCTTGTGGAAGGCGATGCTGTCGTCGAAGGGGACGAAGAATCGCGCCCAGGTGGAGCGGAGCCACGTCAGCGTGTTGCGGCAGACCGGGAGCAGCACGAGCGCCATGTTGAGCTTGAGCGTCTCGGCCGCGCCCTTGGCCGTGGGGAGGCAGTACCCCATCACCCGGAACGCCGCCGACCGCCGGTACTGCACGAACCGCCACGCGAACAGCGACGCCATGGCCGCGAGCCACAGCGCCACCACCCACGCGCGCCGCCAGCTCTCCGCCGCAGCCACGCGCGCCCGCGCCGCCGCGCGACGCGGGCTCCACCGCCGCCGCTGCAGCTGCCACCGCGACGGCTGCGGCTGCTGCCCACCAGCACACGCGCCGGCGCCCGCGCCCGCGCCGGCGCTCAGGCCCTGGCTCCACTGCGCCGCGCTGCCGCTGCTCATCGGCCGGCTGTAGGTCATGTACGCGTCGCGCTGCAGGAGCAGCGCCTCCAGCTGCCACAGCTGCGTGCGTGCGTACGTGGCCAAGGCCAGCCAGTCAACAAAAGTACACTAGCTATAGACAAGTAGCTGTGGTGTATTTGTACGCATGTATCCGGACCTCTATGTAGCCGAGATTCTCCGGATCGAGCTCCTCCATGATCAGGGACGCGTACTCCTCAGCCTGCTCCTTGAGCTTCGACAGCTTGTTCGCCGACGCGCTCAGAACGATCAGCTGGGGGGGAAAAATGAAAACTTTTAGTTAGGCTGATCACACGCTGGAGGTCAAACCTAATTACCTACCCGCACAGTGAAACTCCCTGCATAACTAACCCGATTGGGGCCTTTTTTTATACGTATGGATTCATCTCAATCCACGTATGTTGAAGTGGATCGGAATGGAATCAGACTAAATTACATTTCATTCCACTCCAATACATATAGATTAAGGTGGATAAACGTGCATCTAAACCAGGCAGCAATACAAGTGTTACTGAGACATGTTACTTTCAATCACTCCAGTATTACTAATTCGGTAACTCAGTTGACTAATAATTGATCAAGTGGGCTTCGCTCAACATGATTTGATTACCTCTTGCACTTCTTCCCTCGTGATCCTACCGTCCACGTTGGTGTCCACCCTGAATTGAAATGGATTAGTTTCAGGCCAAGAACAGAGCACAACACCAGTTGCGACAGAAAAAACAGAGGAAGAAATCAGTGCAGGATTGTGGTGGGGGTGTGTCTGCGCACATGTCGAAGAAAATTTGGAGGCGCGCGTCGAAGCTCTGGTCGGAGATTTGCAGCCAGAACTCGTAGAGCTCGTCCTTGCTGATCCGCTCCAGGTTCTGGCGCCGCCGCCGCGCCAGCGCGTCGAAGATGCCCACCGCGAACTCCTTGGAGTCCACCATCCCTGCAACGCCAATGCCGTCAGCCCGTCGTGGTGGTGGGGGGCGCGCGCGTGATCGCGTCGCGTTCATGGCTAGTTTGGACGAACGAACGAACGCACGTCACGTACCGATGCAGTCGCCGAAGTCGTCGCGGGCGAGGAGGGCGTCGGTGGCGAGCGCGTTGAAGCGCTCCTCCACGGCGCGCCAGAGCGCGGCGCCGCCGTCGGCGTCGGTGGTGGTGCGGCTGATGAACCGGAGGCCCTTGAGCGCGCGCCTGGCCCCGGACCGCGACCGGTTCAGGAGGCGCGCCTGGACGCGGCGCTGCTCGCGGGCCGCCAGCGCCGCCTCCCGCACCACCTGCTGGTCGGAGGACGCCGCGGCGGCCGCGGCCCCGGCCGCGGGCGGCGGGGGACGGCGCGGCGACGGCGACCGCAGCCACGCGAACTTCCTGCGGATCCGCGACGACGTCGACGAGCACCGGCTCAGGCTCCGCGGGCCGTCCGGCGTGTGCTGCGCCTGCGCCTGCGCCGCCGCCGCCCCCGTGTCGGGCAGCGACGACGTGGTGGGCGTCCCGTACAGCACCGCGGTGGTGGGCGTGACGCTGCGCACCACCATGGACTCCTCGTCCAGCTCCAGCATCACCTCCACGAGGTCGCTCTGGTCCGCGAGGAACGCCGGCAGCATTCCCCCGGCGCCAACGCCTACCGCGGCGGACGTGGAGGCGACGTACTCGTCGCTGTGCGCCGTGATGAAGGACTCATTGTCCGACACGTCGGTCTGGTCGTCGGCGAGGTAGTCCGCGATGCGCCGGCGCCAGGTCCGCCGCGCGCTCCCTGACGACGACCCCCGCGACGGCGCCCACATGGCCGTCCCGCCCCTAGGCTTCTTGGCACCCCTTCCCTTGCGGCGTGTGCATATCCCCACGGCCAGGAAGGCTGGAACTGGAGCGCCGCTCTGCTTGCTTGGGCTCACCCTGCTGCTGCTCAGGTGATCAGCTTGCTTGTCCTCACTGAGCAGCTGTGGCCGGGCCGGGCGGCAGGCAGGGCGATGTATCTGCTCGGCCGCCTGGCGTTCGGTGCCACTACCGGTGGTTGGGATTCGGTTCGCCGAGTCGCGGACGCTTCCATATGAAAATAGGCAAACGGTGGGTGTCGTGTGACACGGGCTTTGTCAGTGCAGCCACTGAAAGGTTCTCTCGCCTGCACGAATTTAACTATTTTTCATTCAGTCTTGTAAAAAAAACTATTTTTCATTCAGTAAACTTTTGCGTATTCGCGCCAAATTCAGGAGACGAGATTGCATTAGGGCTACCGAACTGGATACCGACTTTGTTTATATGTGTTATTTATCTGTTCGTTGTTTTTAACAACTGAATTTGCAGTAATCAACTACAGGAGCCGGTGAGGTTAACCAACACTGAAATCGACCCGGGCAACTTGGAGGATAATGATTAGACCAAATTGTGCACTCTGTTTGTGTTAGCCCTGGGCAGGCATTTGACATTTTACAAACAAATTAGTCCATGTCACTCTAGATGCAGCCAGGCCATTTTGTTCTCTGAAAAAAAGAATAGTGCCATTTTAGGGTTGCTACAGCCTACAGATACTGCCATTTCTGCTTGCTCCACAGAATTTAGAAGAGACTGTTCGCTTGAACTTATCACAGCCGGCTTATCAGCTATTTTTCTCTCAAAATAAAACAGTTTCCATCGGCTGAAATTATCAGCCAACTTATCAGCTAGAATCTACAATATTTTCTCTCTTAAAATAAAATAGCTTCAGCAGGCTTATCAGCCGGCTTTAATAGCAGCCGAACAGACCCAGCGGCTGGAGCTAGATCCTTTGAATTCTGCCTGTCTGCAGGATGATACTGTGACGCCAAGATGCTCAGCAGCAACCACCAACCAGTGCTGCTAGGGCTCTGAATCCAGCAGCTAGCTACATTGAGCAGCTTGGCTGCATCTGCACTGAAACTGCACGACGCTTGTCAGCCTGTAGCCTTGCCTGCAGGAGCGGCTGGAATGGGTTTCTGCTCCCAGCTCGGCATCAACTTTCATGGCTCCCATAGTCTGTCGGAACAGGGAGGTGGTGCAGTGATCAAGGACCAGTTTCGGCTGATCCAGACCCATCAACGTGTGATCGTGTGGGAGGTGAAACTGGTGATGCTAATATAATGCTATTGATGATTCGCCTTTTTCACCCACCATGATTTCGCCTTTGCATGCATGACAGCGCCTAGCGTCTCTGTTATGAAAGGCACGCCGTAACGGACTGATGCTAAATCGCTAATCGAGTGACGAGGTAGCAAAGGCAGGCAGCGTGAGGAGCACGGCTGCCACTGCCATGGCTGATAGCTCTCTGCTCGATCTCGACCTGTGCCTGTCTGCCATTAGTGTTTTTTTTTTCTTTTGGTACCTGAAGAAACTATCAGCCTGTTCGCTTGGTCATATTTGGCTTATAAGCTATGGCTTATCAGCCAACAAATAGTATTTTTCTCTCACACCAAAATAGCCAATAATACTTTCAGTCATGGTTTATAAGCCAAGCCCAACCGAACAGGGCCTATAAGGCTTTTCATCCATCTTGAAGGATAATAGCTTGGCCATTAGGGTTTGCCGCGTGTTCAGAGACTGCAGATCGATGCTTGCCAACCTCATGCACAATCGATTAGTTGGGTCACACGAATCCTCTATCCATAGTAGGGGTAGCGTTGTTGCATGACATACTACTGTAGAGAGAAAATACGCATGACTTGATAATGGCATTACCGGCCTTTTCTCTCCAAAACAACAAAACATGACTGAACCAGTTTACCGAAGTTTTTTCCCTCACAAATTGGAAATTGCAGTGGTGCTCGTTCACAACTTTTCCTTTGTTCAAGAGGAGCATAACTAATTTGCATATATAAGTAGGCTCATTAATTCGGATTGTGCACTTTGCATGTGAACCTGAATTTAAAGCCCTAATCTATCTTGCTTTTTTCATAGTGTGAGGCATGACAATCATCATTCACGTGGCGATACAACATAGGCCTTCTTTAGTTGTTGCAACATGTTTATCTACCTCGTGAAGACCAAACTAAACATATTGGCACGGTACGGTGAAGAGCGTTCTAATCTTTGGAACAAAACGACCAAAGAATTTTCCAGAGGAAACGCGCTTCATTAATCGAGTTAGTCGCGAAGATCAAGGATGAAGTGAGATGCCAATGCATGCATGAGAGACAGGAAAACATCTGTTAATGGCACTATGTGAGTTTCAGACAATATAATACATATATATGATAATTACTTATGTTCAAGTAGAGAGAGTTATTACCTACTAACAAGAATTAATAATATGATACAAAAGCAAATGCACTATGTCTTAGTACTAAATAGTAAGTAGAGTTTCTTTTAAAGCCTCCATGTTAATCTTCACAAAACACACAAAAAAAGCAAGAGAAATTCTAAAAAAATCATAACATGCATCTAACCCTCCATTTTGTGGAGTTGATAGTAATAGCCAGGGGCCCTAATTTGCTTCTAATAATCCACATATGCCATTATGAAAATAACATGAAGTAATAACATATATATATATATAAAGTATCCACCTGTCGGTGCGAAAAGTAACCAACAAGTAAATATTTGTAGTTTTGTCGTGCGTTGTGATCGGATGTGGCCTAGCACTCAATGACACAGGATTTATACTGGTTCAGGCAACGTGCCATACGTCCAGTTTCGATCGGTCGGTGACTTTATTCCTGAGCCCAGGTGCTTAAAGTTTGCTGTGGGGTTACAAACAGGTATGGAATGAGAAGGGGGGTGTTAGAGGCCCGGTCGGACTCTAAACCAAGTGGTTAAGAGTGACAGGTGCTCTAACATGCGCTAAGTATTGAAGCGTATGCTCTGTGTAGCTGTTGAGATCTAGAGCTGTGGAGCTGTTTGAATACTCAGGTTCTCTAGAGCCAAATCCAGAGAGTGAATCTCGCGTTCGTCCTCTCGGTTGGGAGAGAGCGTATCCTCTTTTATAGGTGAAGGGGATGGCCTTACAAGTGAGAGAAAGAGAGAGAGAGTGAGTGTGTGTGCTACCTAGTCTTATTGCCCACGCCGTCAGGTACAAGACAGTTGTCGGTGCCCACAATACTGTTGACGCCCAGATGTATGTGGCAGGCTCCATCGTTTTCGTCTGGTATGGCAGATGTCGGCGCCTATCATACTGTAGGACAAATGTCGGTGCCCACAACATTATTTATGTTCTCACATGTCTGGAAGGTTCCATAGCACCCTTCTGGCATGGCCTGGCGGTACTGTCCTGCAGGTGTGCAGGGTACGGTCCTCGGTATTGCGGTTGACTTGAGCGCCTTGCCTTATCTGCTCCGCCTGATTCTTGGGTCCTCACCGAGCGGGCATCCCCGGTCGGTCGTTTCCAGTCGGCTCCGACCGTGTCGGTCGGAGAAGATATGTAAGCAGAGGTTCGGCGTATTCCTAGTCAGAAAAGCGGGTCGGAGTCGTAAGCGAGCATCGTCCCCTCCTTGGCCAGGCCTTCCGGTCAGAGACTGGATCGCTCTTCCGGCCTGTCGTTAGGTATCTGAGCTGGCCCAGGAGTCGCGCGTTGTTGTAATGCCGTCCGCTGGGCCGAGCTTTCGCTGGGAAGCGGGCCCATTGGGGACCCTAGGTTTATGAACCCGATAGGAGCCCCTGAGCCCTTTTGGGACTTCTGTGAAGTCGTGAAGGGGCTGTTTATACTCGTTGTACGAGAGCAACGGGTGGGTGTAAGATCATGAGTCGCCGTCGGGCGCGACGGAGCGTGGACCCAGGCGTCACGCGCGGCTGAGGGGTCGGGCGAGACGAAGTCGCCAACCCAAGTGTCCGCGTGGCGGAGCACGACTGAGGGGTCAAGCGAGACGGAGTCACCAACCCAAGTGTCGACGCGGCGAAGCGCGGTAGAGGGGTCGGGCGAGACGGAGTCGCCAACCCAAGTGTCGACACGGTAGAGCGCAGCCGAGGGGTCGGGCGAGACGGAGTCGCCAACCCAAGTGTTGGCGCAGCGGGGCCTGGCCGAGGGGTCCGGCGAGACAGAGTCGCCAACCCAAGTGTCGGCGCGGTAGAGCGCGGTCGAGGGGTCGGGCGAGACGAAGTCGCCAACCCAAGTGTCAGCGCGGCGAAGCGCTGCCGAGGGGTCAGGCAAGACGGAGTCGCCAACCCAAGTGTCAGCGCAGCGGAGCGCGTCGAGGGGTCGGGCGAGACGGAGTCACCAACCCAAGTGTCGGCGCGGCAGTGCATGGCCGAGGGGTCGGTCTAGTTTCATGAGTCACCCTGTCCGTGGTTTCCACAACCGAAGGGGTTGAGCTAACGTCACTTGCCTTGATGGCTCGAGCGACGTGCCTGGTGAGCCCAATAATGGGTATGTTCGAGTGGAATCCAGGTTCGTCGTTCGTAACTTGGTCGGCATAGCCCTCATGTGGCATTCTACTGCTCCTTAACTCGCTTCCCGGCTAATGCCCAAGCCGTTCTGGAGATCGACTCAGGTGGCCCGCTGGCCTCCCCTCGATGGAGATTCTGTGGGCATGGCTTGAGGTTAGGATCGAACGAGAAGGTCGAGATGACCCTATCTGCTTCGGAGCGGATTGGGCGAGGGCCGCTGGGGCTCATCTATGTTTTCTCCCTTGGCTCTGTTTGACGCGAGGCGGCCTCGAGCCCTTTGTGGGGCGTCCTTCAAACCCTAGTCGGTCGTCTCTCATATCGGATGAGGCGACTACCACTTCATGACACAACACGAAGCGTTGTGATGCAACAATTGCATATGCAACGCTTGGATGTATGGGATGAATGTATGGATGAACGTATGAATGCATGCATGAATGAATGAATGATTATGTAT